CCCCAAAACCCCAAAACCCCAAAACCCCAAAACCCCACTACAACAATTTCAACTGAAATTGCAAAACTTAGCAATTCTTTTCCTTTAATACCCTCCCGATCCTTCTTATCTACAGATTCTTTGTAAGCTTGGTCAGAGAGTATTCCGCATTTGAATTAGTCGATGATCTCGAAGGAGGAGGATGAAGAGGATTTGCTCAAAGGGGTCTCGATGTCTGGTATGGGACAAGTTGTCATTGGAAAGAAAGCAGGAGACTGGAGCCCAGAAGGAGAGAGAGGGGTTGAAGAGATGAATAGGGCTTCCTCCTGAGAGTTAAGGGGTGTGGTAGGGCAGGGGATCTTATTGAGCTTCACTTCTTCTTCGCTGTTTTTAAAACTTGGAATATCCTCAAAATCATCTGATTTGAGAGAATCTCCATCATTAGAACCATTTTTAGTATCTAAATCAGCCTGGAAAGTAGCTTTTTCGTCGGCTGATGAGGGGCCTGTAAGACGCTTTTGGAGATCAAGAGATGGTCCTTTTTGTTCAGATTCATGCTGTATCTTCATTTCTTCTTTATTGCAATCCTTTTCTAAACCAATAGTCTTCTTTTCTTCTGTCTCTTCAACTAAAGAATAGGTTATGAAAGAAAATTATCAAGAATATTCCTTGAAATTTTATAGAAGCTGAGACATATCTTAAGAAGCAACGAATTATTCTAAAAAGATCTAAATATAATAGACCTAAAATAGAAACTCTTTATTGCGGATCTTTTGCTCGTTAGAATAATATTTTGAGCTTTAAAGTTCCACAATCTTGTAGCATTTTCAATAGTATAGCTAATCACACATATATCTTTATATTACATAGACTGGATCATATATTATCACTCTCTCTTGATTTTAGATATGATTTATCAAGTTTTTTAATGAAAAACAAAATTAATGATACTTTGATAAACTAAAATCCTTTAAAACAACAAGAAAAAAAGAAAGAGAAATATAGATGCAACGAACGCTATTTTACGGCTTTTGCATAAAAATTGTAGACTGAACAGTATTTGCCGAATAAAATTAATATTTTTTCTATTTTCTTCTAAGAGTGCACATTTATTTGGATTAAAACTTATCTCACATACCATTAGCTTTGATTTCCTTGCAACGCTTTTGAGGAGAATGCTTTTTAAAACTTCTAGGCTCCATTTTCTTTTTAGCTTCTTCATTACAGAAATCAATTTTAACTTGAAGTTCTTCTATTGAATAAATCTTCTTTGAATTCAAGAATCCAAAGTTTACTTGATCAACACTAGAGGGGTAAGCAATTTTATCTCTCTTGTTCTTTTCTGAAGCATTATTCATACCTTCATTAGATTTAATATCTTCTCCAGTCATAAAAGGATGCTTTAATATATCTTCATAGCTTATTCTTTGTGAGGGTCTGTATTGGATTCATCTCTGAATTAAATCAAGGAGTTCAAGTGAAATATTTGCTTGGGAAGGTATTTTATAATTTCCTTTTAGTAGAATATCTTCATGATCTTGAGCATTCTTTCCATAAAATGGCAATTTGCCAAAAGCAAGTTCGTAAACTATTACTCCAAACGACCAAATATCAACTTTAAAATCATAGTTTATCTCATTATAAACCTCTGGAGCCATTGTTGTGTAAGTCCCAAGTTTAGAGTTTGCTAAATTTCCATTTAAGAAAGATTTTGCAACTCCAAAATCTCCAATCCTAACCTCTATTTCATCTTTATTGTGGTCAAACTCCTTCAAATAAGAAAATTTTTCACTTAGCTGCTTTGGAAGATTTGGGAAATGTATCATAATGTTATCAATCTTGAGATCTCTATGAGCAATTTCCTGACCGCTGAGATAGGATATACCTTTTGCAATTTCAATAGATATTGCTCTGACAAGAGATTCACTAAGTCTCGGTCTCTTAGCTCTTCATAGATTCCTCAAGCTTCCTCCATTACAGTATTCAATAAATATGTAAACATTATTATTGCTTTTGCTCACATCTATGAACCTAACAAGGTTTCTATGGCTCTGATTTTTCATCATGTTAATTTCACTGAGAAAGTATTCGATCTCTCTCTCATGACGTCCCTTTAGAGAAATCATTTTACAAGCAATTCTTCGTCCTTTACGCATTCTGGGCCTGACTTCATGTCGGATATTTTCCTCCTTCAAGATCTTGCAAAGGTAGACTTTCCCATAACAGCCTGCTCCAAGTTCTTCTGTAAGGATGTAATTGCCAACTTCTTTTGATATCTGATTAGACATTTTATCAACTAACTAATTATTATTATTTGACTTTCCATATTTGTAGGAAAATATGGGGTTTTGGGGTTTTGGGGTTTTGGGG